TCAAACAAATCCATTATATATAAGTAGAATGGAGTGTAAACAGATCATTGATTAAACATGTATAACATGCAAGTTTTTTTATTGACTATAAGAACTACAAAACTAACACTGTTATTCATAATGCAAACTAAAAATAACCCATGACAAACAAGTATAGTAAGATAGTTGCCCTTTATAGCCTTCATCACATTAAAGCTTACTTGGCACAATTGTAGAAAGCTTCTCTCGTTCACGATTTCACATATCTTGCTATTCTTTTCAAGTTAATAGATCATATAAGACTGATTTCATGTTTAATCATTAAAACGTACAATGATTAAAAAGTTTGAATTAAATCAAATTATTGAGAAATGTAAATCAGGTTAAATGATTCAACCTCCGGTTACATTAATTGGCAGAGCCGCTTTTCTTCTATTTTTTTGTAACTGTCTTCCGTTGTAAATGATTTTAATTCTAATATTTTATGTCTTACTATGGAAAATGAATTTCCGTACTCCTAACGAAACTTGGTTTATTGACTTATTATTATTTTTTATCTTGTTGTCAAATGACTTTCTCTGACCGACCATAAAATAGATAAGTTTCATATGATAACCTATTAGTAATCATTGTGATAAACGTTATCTTTGCTTAAGATGAATCACTCCAATTATGTTCATCATACTATTTAAAAATATTTATTTCAGAAGGGTTTTTGTGCATATAATAGTAATTCCAATGGCTAAGATCATGAGTCAATTGGAGCTAGTAGATGCCAGCTACTAAGAAGTCTCCCAATAGGGTGAAACGGCCGTCCAGTGCTTCCAGGTTTTCCATACATATACTTGTATAACCTTTTTATCACACACTGATTTCAGACAAACAAATATAGGAAACTAGAAACACTAAATATATGTTTTGTTCCAGTTTAGAACTTCTCACTAAGAGTCAGACATAATCACTCTTGATAATCAAAATCAAGATCTTCTGATCTCGTAACAGTCATGATGCCTTATGACTACCGAATGTAAAAACGGTGATTCGTTTTTTCATCTTTAATCACTTTTAACAGCAAATGTGCCATATGCTATTGTTTTAATCAAATCAAAATAAATTTCTAGTTCTACCGGAGTGTCGATTATGACATAGTTGTTAGAGGTCAATGATAAAGCTTATCTTTAGACTGACTTATTCTCCGTAAACCACTTTTTTTAATTCGAAGGATGTTTTATGATATGAAATAAGCCACATAAAACTTCATTGATGATTTCATTTTTATTCAAAAATATGTAGTTATTGTTTCTAAGCAAATTTAACGTTCTGTAAAGTAATTTACCAAAAAATAGTATTCTTTTTGTTTAAATAAGTAGGAAAATTTAAAATATCAGAAGGGGTTTTGTGGAGATTTTAGAAATTTCACTGATTGAAATCATGAGTCAATTGAAGCAAGACCACCATGGAAAACCTGGAAGCACTGGACGGCCGTTTTGTCCTAGTATGGGACACCTCAGCAGTGCGCATCCACGTCCTGCACCTCGCGAGATTCGAACCCAAGACCTGTCAGTGAACTCAACAGCTGTTTAATTGTTACGTTTTATTAAAAACTTAGCAGGTGTATGTCAGTGTGTCTGTTTATATGTATATGAGTGACTAACTTCAGTTCTCAAAAATTTAATTAGATCCAATGATTCGCTTCCTATTCTTGATACATTATTTGTTAATTCATTTGTAATGTAAAAGTATCTTTGGAATCTTTTAATTATTTGTAATTTTCTAAAAATTATTTCATCTTTTGTGTTTCTTTTCTTTTTGTAAAAAAATTTGCCTCAACAAACTGTCTTATACAACTAAGCATCAATTTCAAATTTAAATGATGTATTACTTACTTACGCCTGTTACTCCCAATAGAGCATAGGTCGCCGACCAGCATTCTCAAACCCACTTTGTCCTGGGCCTCCTTTTCTAATTCCATCCAATTCTTGTTCATTTTTCTCATGTTTATCTCCATTTTCCGGCGTAATGTGTTCTTTGGTCTTCCTCTTTTCCTTTGGCCTTGAGGATTCCATGTGAGGGCTTGTCTTGTGATGCAGTTGGGTGCTTTCTTCAGTGTGTGTTCTATCCACTTCCAGCGCTTCTTCTTGATTTCTTCCTTCGCTGAGATCTGGTTTGTTCTCTCCCACAGTAGGTTGTTACTGATAGTGTCTGGCCAATGGATCTGAAGTATTTTGCATAGACAACTGTTAATAAATACTTGTATCTTCTGGATCACCCTATACAGCAGAAGTGTCTTGACATTTGTATTGAAAATCCTGACCTTGGTGTTGGGTGACAGATGTTTTGACTTCCAGATGTTCTTCAGTTGTAGATATGCTGTTCTTGCTTTGCCGATCCGCGCCTTCACATCTGCATCAGATCCGTCGTGTTCATCAATGATGCTGCTAAATTATGTATAAGCTACCTTTTTTGATCCAATATTGATTTTTTTAAATATAGGCTTCCTTTTAATCACTAAACATATCTACTGAAACCTAAAGTACTAATAAACATTACTAAACGATCTAATATCGTTCACTTTTTATTACAAGTACATCTTTAAATTCTTTGAAATTACAGTGACTACATTTGGTTCATAAGCCAATTAAACTGTACTTCACTAAGCTATTTGTTTCAATTCGTTAACTGAATGAAGAACAGAAAGATTCATTTGAATATCATTATCTTGAATAAATGTGAAAATAAAAGATATTTGTATTAGAATGACATATAAATTAGTGAACAGTATTGTTTTCAATTGAATTCTCATTAAGCTTTACGCTATTTTGTATTGAAAATATTTGATAGTGACATGCATGAGTGCTTTATACTTCTAGAAATTCATAAACATTAATTCCTTTCATTTTTGTATAATCAGTATTGAATGATAGATCTATACTAACAATAACTACATACAATGAAGACTTTATTCTAATTTAATACTAATACAGTATAAAGATTCTACGATAAAAATACATAGACGTAAAGATATATCTTACTGATCAATCTCACAATCCATATTATTTATTTCAATATAACAAAGAAAACCGATTTAAATTCTTAACAATTGAATGATGTCTAGTTTTATACTGTCCTATTATGTTCTATATAATGAATTTGTTTAAATCACAATTATCATTATTATCATTCCAATTATTTGAATGCGGTGACTAAACCTACGTTAAAGGATAAATTTACATTTGTAAATAACTAACAGATTATTCTAGACAAACCTAGAATTCTAGTCAACATAGAAAAAAAAATTTCGAAAAATAAATAAATATATACGAATGTTTATTTCTTTGTGAGGCAATCGACAATAGTATGCCTGTAAGACAGTGTAACCATACATATACCACACACATGCTTAGGTTTTAAGGAATTAAGCATATACATATGAAATATATTACTGATATTTTAGTCGTAATACAAATAGACGATTTAATTTTTTTTTCATTTCCTAATTTCCTAAATAAGATACACATTTAATTAAATCCAATTTTCCCCATGACACAATAAAACAAACAAATAAACAAATAGAATCATAAACAGATGTTTATTTTGTTTATTTTTCCTATTTAAATTAAAATGTTGTCGACATAGATTATTAAAAAATAATCATTGTGATTTGTATGTCATAATAGAGATTGTAGAGGTTGAAATGAAGATAATGATGAAATCATATTTAATTCAACCTTAACGACCGAATTAAGCAATATATGACTCAGTGTCTTATATATATATATATATATATATATATATATATATATTTTTTTTTAAACGTGGATTGCAAAGAGAGAGAGTTTTGAAACAATATGACCAGTTAATACTAATATTAAGTATATTACGCAGAAAATGCCAAAGATAATGTGTTGGACTGAGAAATATATTTATTTGGAGATAAAAGTGGATTAATATGAGACCATTAAAATAATTATCCGAAGGATCAGATACACTACGTATGGGTTCTACTGAGAAAGCCGTGATTCTTGATCCGATGCATTAAATTTGTAGTATTCATTGATATTCTGGATAATAAGGCTCTTAATGACTTATGAATACTTATATCTATGTTTATTTTTCACAGGCGATGGTCCCAATATATTAATACGTCAAACTACGAAATTGTTTATTCATTCACAGTACGATTAATATAGTAAATCGTCTAAACACCTATTTTCAGTATCAAGAAATATTCCATTCAGAAAAAAGCTAAGATAAAAAATGTCCATAATCTAGAATCAACATAATCTTATTTCAAAATAAGTTTATCTTCGCATAGTTTCAATCATTTACCTATAAATGCTAAGCTACTATATAGAAAATGTACTTCTCATACTTTATATGATATTTACTATTCAGCAATCCAGATAACTTAAGCATAAATCGAATTCTCGAAAACAAAGTTTAAATCTATAAGCAAAGATGGATAGTGGCTCGCAGTGGAATCCAGGACGCGCGTTTCGTCCTGTTTGGGACTTGTCGAATGGATTTACCTGGACCTCAGAGTTGATGTTCTCTCTGAAACTCTTACCCAGTACCGTCCACTTCAAACGCTATCGTGTAAACAATACCAAGTGAATTTAAACTTTACCCCATTGCACAAGGAAGTAGCTAACAGGACTCTGCAGCTAAATGGATAACGAGATGGCGTTTGAAGCGAACGGTACTGAGTTCGAGTTCCAGAGTGAACATCAACTCTGAGATGCAGGTACATCCAGCTGACAAGTCCCAAACAGGACGAAACGCGCGTCCTGGATTCCACTGCTAACCACTATCCATCTTTGCTTATAATGCTTGTAAATTAAGGCAATATCGAGGCATATGCACAGTATGCACATATGTCAATAAGAGACTGATCAATTTCAGTCCTAAAACATCAATGAGAAGATTCAAGTTAAAACAATATCAAGTGAATTATTGTTTAAATTTGTTTCAAAAAAAAAGAAAAGAAAAAGAGTCAGTACATATGGCATTCAATGACTTACAGAATTTGTAAATGCTTTCAAACATTTAGCTGCACAAATTGATTCACTGATTAAATCCATAAAATCTCCATGACATAATAGAAAATTGATAATAAACAGAATAATATAATAATTTGTATGATACAATAATCGTATCATAGTTTATTAATAAAAGTATAGTTTATAAAATATCTATGTCATGTTATGTTTTATTACTCAATGTTATGAAAGGAAATCATTTATCTATATGGCATCAAGTATGTTTTTGGGTGGGAAAAAACGGTTTAAATTGTTTGTTTTTTTAGTTTTTATTCTGAGAAATTTAATGAAATAACTAGTTTTATGATTGATAAAATTTTCATAGAAATATACAGCACTTAACTAAATTGATACAACCAATCAACAAATTGTATGGCAAGGTCATATGCGCGTATGTTCATTGGTTAAAAAGCAATAATTCAATCAAAATATTGTTTATAATATGATTGACCTCTGAAGATATAATAATAATAATTATATTGTGAACACATGTATGACAGATGATAAATGAAATGAAAGAATCATTTTACTCATCAAAAGAATAGACTATTTCTTACTTTGATGATTAAGGATAATTTAAAAGAAGAAACATTTTGAGAATATTATTTATGTGAATTCTTTGAAATTCTCTTTTTTTGTATTCCACATGAATTCGAGGAACGATTCGGTAGTAAAAAGATTAGTTTTACCAAATATATATATATATATATATATATATATATATATATATATATATATATATATATATATAGACACAAAATGGTGGTTCTTCCTATTTCTTAAAGGAACTCATTGACAGTGTTGAAAGTTATGCTGGTATTGAAGTACTTATCAATTTATAGTGAATTTCATAACGGAACTTATCAACAGTGTCGAAAGTTATAGAGGTATAGAAATACATATATAGGGTTAAACGAAATTTTGTGTTAAATGATGATCTGTTGAACCTATATGTATTTAAATTAAAAATATTGACACCAATCATGGACTTTCATGTTTCCAGATTTAAATGATTTTATCTAATCGATGTATTCCAACGTTTTTCATAAAAAACTCTCTATGACATACACAAACGTTTTTTATCAGATAACGCTATAAAATCTAATGTTTTCATCTAGGTTGTATGTGATAAATTCGATTTATCCTTGAATTAAGACATTTCAAAAATCTTAATGTTTAAAACAACTAAAAATAATGAATATCGTGATAGGGATAAACAAGTATGATGATCCATCGTATGATCTTATCTGTATATTAATGTGTATTTTCACTAAAATTACATGTAACTATCGTAAAGGAGTATGAAGCATTTGCCATAAAAACATAGTTCGAATCCATAACAAGTTTCATATAGCTTTTATTTATCATTGGATATAGTGAAAAAAATTCATTCTTATGTTGAATGAAACCTAAAGAGTATGATGTGATAGAATTATAATTAGTTTGAATGACTTGACCTAAAACCTTAAGTTACTACTTATTTACTTACGCCTGTTACTCCCCGTGTAGGTGCATAGGCCGCCCACCAGCACTCTCCATCCAACCCTGTCCTGGGCAATCCTTTCCAAATCTTTCTAGTTGTTATTCATCGTTTTCATATCTGCTTCTATTTCCCAACGTAAAGTGTACTTTAGCCTTCCTCCTTTCCACTTCCCTTCAGGATTCCAAGTTGGGGCTTGCCTCGTGGTAGAGTTTGATGACTTGTGTAATGTATGTCCTATCCATTTCCATCGTCTTTTCCTAAACTCTTCTTCAATTGAAAGCCGGTTTGCTCTCTCCTACAGAAGGCTATTGTTGATGGATGTTGAGTATCTTGCGTAGACAACTATTTATGAACAATTGTACCTTCTTGATGATAGTTGTTGTAGTTCTCTAAGTTTCAGCTCCGTACAGTAGAACTGTCTTGACGTTCGTATTGATGATTCTTACTTTGATGTTGTTTGACAGTTGTTTTGAAGTTACTAACAAGAGTATAACTTAAAAAAGATTATCGAATAATCGTTTACAATTATTGTGTGAAGAATTTATTTACGGTACAAATAATTCTATCAGTCAGAAATCACATTTTCAGTTTACCACAACACTGTGTTGTTCAACAACTGTATTTTATTTTTTATATTAAATATAATAGTGTTCTATTCATTATTTGGGATTTTGACAAACTTCTTATTATCATTTATTTACATTCCAATTCAATTGCGTTTGCTGAGAACATTTTCACGGTGAAATTGATGTAAACGTGTTTGTTTTGAATACACGAACATGTATTGTTAATAAGAAAACATCATTCAATTAGACTAGACGATACTGTACATGTAGCATCATTATCTATATTATTGTTTATGATAAGATAGGATGAAATGGCAGTCTAGTGCTTCCAGGTTTTCATGGTGGTCTAGCTTCACTTGACTCATGACCTGAACTACTGTAATCACTACAGTCCCCACAAAACCCGTTTTGATTCTATATGTTATATTTTGTTCTCCATTTGTTGAAATATACATAAATATTAACATGAAAATTTCCTAAAATTTTGTTTGAAAGACTGCGTATGATTACAAGACGGAAAATCACTCAAATATATAAAAAATATACTAATCAGTGTATATGTGAAACATTATAATTTTGTAAGTGAATTTTTAAACGATTCCATATATAAAAGGTTTAGTTATTATCGAGGATTTGTGACAGAAATCTAACTTACATCCTCCTTATAAGTACTTTAAACGATAAGCTTAAAAGAACTATGCTAATTTTGACTGTACTATTGATTGAGTACTAGGTATTCTGTTGAATGGATTTTAGTTACCACATTAGGATTGTTCATGACTATATGATTGGTATTATCCACATAATTTGAACATTTAAACTCAAACTGAACAAAAGTTAACATTCAAACAGTCACTCAAGTCCTGTGAAACTTAAAACATCGAAAATTGATTGTAACCGAATCTACATAAAGGGGAGATTAATGATCTTAGATAGGTTATAAATAGATGATGCAATTAAAAGTACGCTGGATTAAAGTATAGTGAACTAATGTGTTAAACTTAACAAAATGTTTTAATGTATACCACTTAAATGGCTACCTGTATCTTAAGTACCATTATAGCGTTACAGTTTCCTGTTTATCACTCAATGTAGCAAATAATTAAAAAATAATGAAAAAAATTTCTTGATGTTAATAGACAAGATTAATGCAAACCTCCATTATTAGTTATAAATTTCATCATTTCATGAAATGTATTACATTGAAACTATGATATGTAATAAAAATGCACTTTATTAGATTCAAATCAAATTATCAATTTAACAAATTAAATACATAACTTAAAATGGTCTAGACAAAACATTATACCTAGAATGAATACAATTTTAAATGAAGATTGTATCTTGTTAAACAGAACTGAATATATTACATGTTTGAATCATTTAAAATGGATGCATGCTTATCATTTATAATAGTTAGATCCATCATTATGAACCTGGTAATAAAAATCAAATCAGGTTTCCATTTTTTTAACAATTCTTTTCTATACTTCTATGATCATGATAATGCAAAGACACTCAAATCACTACTTAGAAAAAATTAACGGGATCTAATATATATATATATATATATATATATATATATATATATATATATATATATATATATATATAAATTTAGTGTAAACAAGTGATGCAGAAAGGTTTAATTGGTTAAGTCAAATACTGAGATCAATATGAGGAATAAGCCTCAGCAGTGTGCATATGCGATTCCGCACCCCACAAGACTCTAACCCAGGACCTATTGGTCTCGCGTTAGGCGCTTAACCAACTAGACCACTGAGCCGGCATCCAATGGTGTTAATGTCTAACCTCAACCAGTCCACGAAATTGCGCGACCATCTTCCATTTTACTGAGGTAGACACCTGTTTCTACCCGACAAGGATTAGATCCATTGGTCACGGCGAAACGGTCGTCCAGTGCTTCCAGGTTTTCCATGGTGGTCTAGCTTCAATTAACTCACGATTTCAATCACAAACTTATCAATTTCCACAACCCCAGAACTAATAATGATTTTTAGTTGCTAGTCATTTTTTTGATATCAGTAAGCCAGTAGGTCGTGGATGCGCACTACTGAGGAGTCCCATACTTGGACAAAATGGCCGTCCAGTGCTTCCAGGTTTTCTATGGTGGTCTAGCTTCAACTGACTTATGATTTCAATCTGTGAAGATATCAGTAAGTGTTCATTTTAGATTAAAACGTAACCTATGAAGTTGAAAACATATAGATTTGGAAAATATATATTGCATATTAATACAAATGTACTCACATAAATCCATATGTATACAAGCACATGCACATACATTTCTACACATAAATACATACAAACAAACAAACAAGCATATACACCTACGTACATGCATACAAATTAATTTGTTCTTGCTCTTTTCAAAATGATAAAGGGAACTATGTGTATGATATTAATTTGTTACCTATTTTCATAATTATTACTCAAAATTTTTCAAAATGGAAAATGATACAGATACATGTGGATAAATTTTTTTGTTGTTGTCCTGACTACAAATATAATTGTTCAACTTTTAAAAAAAAAACAATTTATCCATCCACCCTATTGTGTATATAATAAAATGAATTTTACTATTTTTTTTCTTCCATAAATTTAAGAAAAAGAATACAATTGAAATAAAAATAAAATAATCATTTGTTAAGAATTTTTATTTTTCATAATTAATCACGTCGATATAGTTGAAAGGTATGAACAGAAATGTTGAAATGTAAAAACAAAAAGAAAGGAAAAGAAGAGAGAAGGATAGAACAGAATAAAAAAGATTTTAGGGTACATGTTCACTCACCCTAATGTTGAGATCACGATTCAGTCTACATTTATAAAATTGATTGGGATATACATATTTAAAATGATAATAGGTATATACTTGCTTAGATGAATTCTATTTTGATTAGTTTATTTAATAAAACTGAACATGACTTAATTATTGTCATATCTAAGTAACTAAAATGGTCATTATGAATTGAGTTACTAAAAAATAATAAAAGAAAATTTCTTTTGAAATATCTGTATAATACTTATGAGAGTTTGATAAAGTCATC